GAAGAAATGTAGAAGTCACGAGAGGATTCCTCAAAACAGGCTTTATGAAACCAGTGACCAAACTCCTAAGGGAGAATTGCTTTCAGTTCCCAAAACCCGAGATGCCATATGAACAAACTACTTAATCTTACTGTTGGGAAAACCAAGCACTAACAAGGTGGCCACTTATCCTGTGTTTTACAACCTGTTGGTAAAAATAGCACGATGAGAGCAGTATTCTTTCTATTACACCACACTGTGCTGGCCTCTCTATGGGCCTGGCTGTTCTGTCATCTGAAGCATTTGTACACTAGCTGAATCAGTTATCTGTTGCCACAATAATGCTGCGTAACAAACAACCACAGAACCCCAGGGGACTACAACAGTCTTTATTGCTCACTAGGGTAGTCAGGTAGATGGCTCTGCTGATCTTGGCTGGGCTCACTCTTGCATTTGGGGCTCGACTGGCTGTCAGTTGATCTAGGGGAGATGGGTCTCTGCTTCATGTGTCTCTCATCCTCTAGTAGGCTTATCTGGTCATCTTTGAATGGTGGTGTCGGAGGTGCGAGAGCACGAGCAGAAACTCAGAAGTGCTTTTCATGCCTCTTCTTTGGTTGTTTTTTGTTATTTTCCCTTTGGCCAAACCAGTTCTTTTGCTTGACTTCGGATTCAAGGATGGAGAAAGATAATCTTCCTTTTGATGGGTAGAGCTGCAAAGTCACATGGCAAAGGTCGTGGGTATAGGAAGGGATGAAGAATGGAGCCATTGACACATGTAGTCTACCATACTGTTCTTCATATCCAAGACCAGGGGATAGTCTCAGTAACTGGACTACGAACTGTGGCACTTTCACTCCCACCAAGGGAGGCCTTGTTTCTCTGCTGAGACCACATGACCAGTGGTGACCCCAGACCACTGTGACCAGTAGCAGAAAGGGAGCAGGGGACAGGAAAGTCAGGAAGGCAGGAAGTTCCATGCTTCTTGGAGGCATACCCTATTAGTCTGAGAAGCTTGCTCCAGCCCTCCACAAATACCCCACTGGTCAGAAGGTTCTATTTGTTCAGTTCATCAATCCATAGTTTCCTCAAGTAGTCCAGAAAAAAGGAACAAATTCAACCCAGCATCTGCTTTTTGGGAAACATCTGGAGGAGTTGGAATTCCCCCCATAAACGCCCACACTTTTATTTCAATTGTTGAGAAACACAGAAGTCTCACATCCTGTGACTGCTCCGTCTGAAGATCTTGAGTCATTTTGTAAATGTCACGCAATGATGAGCCCTATTATCTGTGCTTGACAGGTAGCAAAAAGCAAAGGTTTAAATAAGGCCTACAAAAGAGAATTGGGGCATTGGAAATTACTTGGTGAATTCAGGTAGTTTAGGCAGTCAACCTGTGGTGTTCAAATAAAAATCCCACTTTTCCCTCAATTATCTGGATGATTCAAGCAAAAGAGAAGTAGGCATATTC